AGTGATTTGAGGTTGGTCTCAAGTGCATTTTCGTTGGGAAATCCAAGTGTAGGTTTAAGTCTCACATTGAGTAAGAACAAGGAAGTTGAATAACATATAAAGAAGAGAGACTCATAACTTAATGCGTTAAGATTTTGGGTTAAAGGTGGTGTCAATCCCTAATGTGAGTTGAACTTATGACTCATAGACGTTGAAAGACCTAATAGTGGCTTAGGTAAGCGTGTCCCGTTATGATAAACAACGGTACATGGAAGGGTCGCTAGTTAGCTCAAGGGATTGTTTAAGGTTTTGGGTTGAAAGTGGTGTAAATCTCTTATGTGGATTGAAATCATGTTTCATTGGTGTTGTCTCTCCCCAGTGAATTCTCTCTCAAAAGACCCAACAATTTTTGCTCAAGCAAAATTTTCCTAAAAGTTTTTTTGTCTAAACTTCTAGAAATCATAATAAATATCACTGTACTCCTAATTTAACATTCCATATATCCAAATTAAAGTCCGAATATGAGAAGTCCAATAAAATAATAATTAATAAAAAATGATATTTATAGAAAAGAATATGTTCAAAATAATACGTAGATGTCAAATTAGAAAAATGTATTTTGTTTGTAAATGTGATAAATAGTAATGTATATAACATAGAATGTTAAAACATATGTTATGACCATGAAATGAGGAGTGTTGAGTATTATTATATACATAGAAAAATATTTTCTTATAATGTGAAAACTACTATGAGATATCCATATATGAATAGTATATTTGTGATTTATAAGATGATATTGTGATATTTTGATACTAAAATATATATGTTCAGACTTAGTCGAGTTAGAAGAATGACTCATAATCGACTGAGATATATCTATGTATATAAGGTTAAGTTGAGCCCGGGATGTGATCCATAATCGATTGAAATGTGTGTAGTTATGGGTACTAAGGGAAGTACTATATGGTGAATTATGTAGGAATATTAAATTGAGATTTTGAAAGAGATTATCCTAACTCTATTTATCACTGAAATAATCACATAGATGAAGAAATTATGTGGTGAGAATTAAAGGAGGTCTTTATGACTTTGCTTGTAGTGTAACAAAAATTGTATCTAGCGAGTTATAAAGATTTACCTGATCACATAAGAGAATGTGTTCCAAATATACCTCTCGTTTATGTTTTGTATATTATTTTATTTAATTGTAATAATGTGTTTTTACCTTAAACAAATAATGTAAGTGATAAACCTTAAACTTTAATAAAGAACAAAGATGATAAAATTGTAAATATTTTAATAATTTTATATGAAAAAAAAATTCAATAAAATAATAATAATAATAAAACAAAACAATTATATATCATTCATTAAAATAAATTATATGAACAATTTTTTATTATTATGAATATATATAATAACATCTTTATGAATACGGTAGAAAATACCATGTAGTCTTTTAACTCTTGATAACTTTATCATTTACAAAAACTAGTTTCAGTGATAAAAATATTTTATATTTTTATGACAATAATTTAATTGTTACGAGCACTCGTGTCACCAATATTTTTAAACATTATTAAATATAATTTTTATAAGGGCATGAAAGTTTTTGACACTAATAATTATATAATAATAATAATTATATTATAATAATAATAATAAATAAATAAAAGATCACAAATATATAAATAATACATTAGTTCTTTTTATAGATAACTTATAAAATAATTAATATTATTTTAATATCAATAGTGATAAATTAATTGTCATTATTAAAATTTATAAAAATAATTATTATAATTTTAAATTCATAAAATATACTGTAATAATGATATATTAACTATTATGTTTAATAATTTATAACAATAACAACCAAAATAATAATGATAATAATTATTGTTATTTTAATGTTAATTTTTTATCATAATTATTCATTAATTTTAATTATTAATTATTATTAAATATAATGATGATGTGTAATGGTACAAAATATATCCATGACTTTCATGTCATAATGAATAAAGTAAATTATTTTGAAAATGTTAAAATAAATAAACATTTAAATATAAATCATCCATTATATTTTAAATGATAAAAACTATAACACAATAAGTATCCAACCTCATTCTAAATTAAAGCATCATGTAAAATACTCAACATATTTATACTAAACAAATTCCTAAAAAATAAAAATAATAAATATTAATAAAAATAAAGCTTTAAACAATTTTTTTTATAATTTATTTTGTTATTGATGAGATTTCAATATCTTGCGTTGATTTATTTCTACTGTGAGGGGTTGGTTTGGATGTGAAACAATCGTTACTCTTCACGTGTTTATATATATATTTTTTTGGAATCAACGTTAATATTTTTTTAAAATAAAAAAAATTATTATATTAAAAAATAAAAGATAAATAATAATTAAAATCCAATAAAAATATAATAAAGTAATTATTATTTAAAATGGATATAATTAATATAAAATAAATAAAAAATAAAAAATATTATAAAAAATAATATTAATATAATAAAAATTATAATTATGATTTTTGATTAAATCAGTTAAATTTAAAATTTCTTTGGATTTTAAAATTTTTTATCAATTTAATTATTTAAAAATAAGAAATTATTTTTTAAAATAATTTCCGATTGAACCAATTACAATAGATTTTCAATAAAGTAATTGTGATTGATGGGACTGTTGATTGAAAAAAGCTGACCCTTGCGAGACCCACGTGTTTGATAAAATTGTATTGTATTCAATTAACTGCACCAGGAAGATCGAAGCAAGACTTGCGAGGTATTCAAAGTTTGTTTCTTTTCCAACGTCAACTTCATCTTTTTCTTTTGTGTTTAAAAATATACAAGATTTTTCAACAAGAATAATAGAAAGGGGACATAATTTATTATGGCGCACTACATAATCTTTTTGTTTGTTTATGGTATTTTAAAATAAGAATATAAAAATGTTGAGAAAATATTTGTTTAGACAGGATGATATGAAGAGAAAATATTTGTTTATATATATATATAAAGAAGAAGTACAATGAAATAAAATTGGACTTTAATTTTTTTCTTTTTTTAATGGGGTTCTTGAAACTAAAAATTCTCTTCATATCATCCTGTCTAAACAAATATTTTCTCAATATAAAATATATATATATATATATATATAATATGTCATCATAAAATATATCTCTTATATATTAATAAATTTTATATTATTTAAAAATAGAAAGCAATGATAATTTATATTTTTTTTATTAATTTATAAAAAAATTAATATTTCATTTATATTTATTATGATTATAGTATTAAATTAAGACACTCTAAAAATTGAACAATGTATTTATTTTTTTATTAGATTTAGGATTTTAAAGAGGCTATATTTAAAGATGGGTTGAATAGGATAGAAATTTTTTAATAAAAATGGGAAAATTATTTATTATATTAATATTTATATTTATAAAAACTTTATTATCACAGATACCTTCAATAAATTATTTATGTTCTTTGTATTAAATCTTGAGAAACATACATAAATTATATTTTATTTAAATTAACAAATTTATACAAAATAGTAAAAAAAAGTTGAAAAATCAAACTGGTAAAGTTTTATTTATTTTTTAAAATCTGTATCTTCGATAAAATTATTTTCTTTATAGTAAAAACTAAACTTGAACTTAGAAGATTAATTTTATATTTGAAAATTTATTATAAATACTTTTAAAATAAATATCACAATAATTTAAATTAAAATATCTAATTTAAAACAATATTAAATTTATATATATATATATATATAAAATTGTATGATTTAAAAAAAATACAAAGACTCAATATCAAGTTAGATTATTTATTTAAATAATATAAATTTTCATAATTTTTATATTTTTAAATTTTAAAAATAATTGTCTAATATTTAATTATGTATATTTTTTTTATTATACAAAAAATTAAAAGAATTATAATTTAGTTGTTTTCAAATATTTTTTATAATTTATATATTATTTATAAATAATTATAAAGCATAAATACGCCTATAGTTTTTTTATAATTTATAAATTAATTTTTACTTTTACTTATTTCATTAAATAATTATTTTATATTAAATTATATCTTAATTTTAATTTATATATTTTTTTAATATTAAAAAATTTTAATTATATATTAATTTATTTTATCATTTATTATTTTTAATAAGTCAAGTCAATTTTATTTATAATAATTTTTATTCATTTTTTATTTTATATTTCATTCTCTTCTGTCCACATGTCATTATATTTTTTTAGATTCAAAGAATTCTATTTTTCATTATTTTCTCTCCAATTGTTTTACTCCTTCAAATTCATTTTTAATTCAACACACAAACTAAGAATTCGAAACCAAATGTATACATTCTAAATCCGTTGGTTTTAAAATTAATGGTGTTAAAAAATCTCCAACTTCTAACACCCATAATTATAATTAAACTCAAATTTTCTAATTTTAAAAATATTAGAATTTATTCTTATCAACAATAAATATATTATAAAAGATAAATATTACATTGTCGACCAGTTTATACCTTTTAAAAATAATATAAAATATATTCAACAAGCTAATGTTTAAAAATAATTATATTATATTATTAACTGAGGATTGTGTCGCATATGTATGTTATAATAATAAGGATTTTGATTTCTAGTTACATGTATAAAAAAATAGTGTGATGAGAAGGACATAATTTATATTTAGTAATATGATGATATATAACTAATATCCTTTAAATACTGATTAAAAGAATTTAAGAATGTGATGTAGATAATTATACTATTCTTTAAATTTTCATATGAATTTTTTAATAACAATAATAAAAATTGAAACAGTATCACCAACAAATTGGATCAGTATTTATATGTTAGACTGGGTGGTTCAGTTCAGACTTAGACATAAAAATTTGTTTTGCTGTTGACCCCAGAAGCACATACATAAACCAAAGCATATCATCCATCTTCACCAATCACACAAAAATGGAGGAGAAAGGCAAAACAAGAAGGGCACATTGTTTGGTGTTACCATATCCATCTCAAGGTCACGTCAATCCCATGCTTCAATTCTGCAAGCTGTTGGAGCATCAAGGGGTGAGAATAACACTTGTCACAACTCGTTCCTACTACAACAATTTGCAAAAGATGCCTCCTTCCATTGCACTTGAAACAATTTCTGATGGATTTGACAAAGGGGGGGTCTCAGAGGCTAGGGGCTTCACACTCTATTTCAAACGTTTTTTGGAAGTTGGGCCAGAAACTTTTGCTCAGCTTCTTGAGAAACTTGGTGGATCAGAAGATGACCATGTTGATTGTGTAGTCTATGATTCATCCCTCCCCTGGGCACTAGATGTTGCCAAGAGATTCGGAGTAGTTGGTGCTGCTTATTTCACTCAAAACATGACTGTTAGTAACATCTACTATCATGTTCACTTGGGAAAGTTGCAGGTTCCTCTCACAGACCATGAGATTTCCCTCCCTGCCATGCCTAAACTTCAACACAAGGACATGCCTTCTTTCTTCTTTACATATGAACAGAATCAGTTTATGTTTGATCTTGTTCTGAATCAATTCTCCAACATTGACAAAGCTGATTGGATCATGTGCAATATCTTTTATGAGCTGGAGAAAGAGGTAATCAATAATGGAACTATTTACAAACGCTAAAATTAATTTACATTTATGCTTTTAATTTAAATGCATTTTTATATGGGTGAAAAACAGATACTAAAAGGGTGAAATCTGTATAGTTTTTTACAAATATTATAACTAAATGAATAATTAGACTTATTTTTAGTTTCCTTCTAAATGTTTTGTGACTTGAAATTGATTGTAGATAGTAGATTGGATCAAGAAGATTTGGCCTAAATTTAGGACCATAGGACCAAACATACCATCTTTTTTCTTAGATAAGTCAGACGAAGATGATCAAGAATATCAGATCACACAATTCAAGAGTGAAGATTGCATGGAATGGCTAGACAATAAACCAAAGGGGTCTGTTGTTTATGTATCATTTGGGTCTATGTTCAATCTTAGTGAGGAACAATTACAGGAACTAGCTTCGTGTCTGAAAGAGTGCTCAAGTTACAACTTCTTGTGGGTGGTTAAAGCTTCTGAAGAGATTAGGCTCCCTAAAGATTTTGAGAGAAAAACAGAAAAGGTTTTGGTAGTGACATGGTGCTCCCAATTGAAAGTTTTAGCTCATGAGGCTATAGGGTGCTTTGTGACACACTCTGGTTGGAATTCCACATTAGAAACTTTATGCTTAGGAGTTCCAACAATTACAATTCCATATTATTCTGATCAGTTCACAAATGCAAAGCTAATGACAGATGTTTGGAAGATTGGAATTAGAGTTCCAATTGATAAAAACAAAATTGTTAGACGACAAACACTAACGGATTGCATAAAGGAAATAATGGAGAGTGAAAAAGGCAAAGAGATGAAAAGCAATGCAACACAATGGAAGACTTTGGCTGCAAAGGCTACTGCTGAAGGTGGAAGTTCTCATGAAAATATTCTAGAGTTTGTGAGTAGTTTGCTTCATTCATAAGGTGATTAATTCTCAAAACATTTAGTATCTGATTTATTGTTGTTTTTACATATTTAGTATTAAGAATAAAAGTGTCTGTCATCATCCTAAAACTACATTTTCCACCAATTTATGTTATCAGTCAGAAATTTAAAGTGTTCACAGAGTTTTCTGATACATCAAAAGCTCTCTGCATATTATTTGTTTTCATAGACAAATTCAATGACTTGATAACTAATAAAACAAATAATCGTGGTAGCTTAGTGCTTAAGAAAAAGCTTCTTTTATTACTAAACATGATTCCAAGGATCGTTTTCAAGCTGTGACACGCTCTGAAACAAGATAAAAAAATAGTGTATTTCGTTTACTGCTAATATTTAAAGAGGAACTAGTTGATTTCTTTGCAAAAGTCTTACCTCCTGCACTTTTCTATCATTCATTTCTAAGAATGATTGCCAATTATCACGATCCAACCTGCGGGGATATTAAATTATAAAATGAATGATGATGATGATCCTGCACATGAGGATAGACCACATGTTCACATGTGTAACATGGAAAAAGGGATCCATGAGCTATTCACAACTCAACAACTGCACCAAGAATCATCTTTTAATTCTCCTTAGATGCTAAAATCAAATTTGAGTTTGTTAATGGGAGTATACCAAAAATGATGACTTTTCATAAATTTTAATAAAAAAAATGTATGAAAAAAATAATATATTAGAATTTGTATTTTTAGTATTTCTTGTTGTTTTCACATTTTTAGTACTAAAAATGTAATTAACGTAATTAAACAACAATTATCATAACGATTTGTTAGTTTTTCTTTTTTCTATAAAGTTAAATAACTACTCTCTTTCACTTCTTCTTTTTTTCTTTTTCTTTTCAAATGCAGCACAAAGGTGACACACATAATAATAAACAATAAAAATACTATCTCAATTGGAAGTAGTAAGAAAAATGTGTATATCAAAAAATAGTTAATTTTTTTTGTATTTTTTTTATATTTGTACAATTTAAGGGTTGAAAAATAAGAAAATGCATAAAAAAATTATAACAAGTGTATTCTTTTTATTAATTATTATAAATTATAGATATTAGTAAAATATAATAATTTTTATAGATCTCACTAAAATATTTTATTATACAAATTATTATAACATAATTATAAATTTTTTATTTAAAGAAAAATGAAAACTAAATATTTTTTTATGCAATATATATAGGAATTAAACTTTTATATATATATATATATATATATATATATATATATATATATATATATATATATATTCAAACAGTTAATATAAAGAATGTGAATAGAAATATTGCTTTTAACTTAAAAAAAAAACAGTAAATAAATATAAAAGCGAAAAGTTAAATAGAAATTAATAAAAGGAATAACGTAAAAAAACCATCACAGGTTGTCAATAAGAGTTAGTAAATTACTCCTATTTCTTTTTAAGTGTTGGATGTTTAGAATTTTTTTCTATTATGTTTAAAAAAATTAAAGATAATATAACATCTCAATTAATGTAAAAGATAAATATTATCTTATCTTAAAAAATAAACATTATCAAAATCATAATTACTGCATTTATGATTACGTAATTAAATAAATAAATACTATAAAAAGGGTAGGAGGAAGGACATGTGGGGAGAAAGAGAAAGAAGAAGAGAGAGACAGAGATAGAAAGAAAGGGAGAGAAAAAAGAAGGAGAGAGAAAGAGAAAGAAAGAGAGAGCGGAAAAGAAAAAGAGAAAAAAAAAATTGTCTATGCAAAAACTTTGGTACCTCATCCGCAGCTCTTAAGGTAGAGGAGGAGAATATTATCATTAAATCTATTTTTATTTTGTTTATAATTGTGGAGTGAGGTGTCCTTAACCTCGTTCTATTTATTTAGTTATTTGTTTATTTATCTCTAATTACGTAATGGTCCTACCTTATGCTTGTTTATTTTATCTCTAGTTATGTACTGGTCCTGTTTGTTTATTTTATTTTATCTTCAATCTTGCACTGATCCTATTTTAATTATCTCCAGTTATGTATTGGTCCTGTTTGTTTATTTTATTTTATCTCCAGTCTTGCACTGATCCTATTTTAATTATTTTCAGTTATGTACTTGTCTTGTTTGTTTACTTTATTTTATCTCTAGTAATGCAACGATCCTATTTATTAATCTATATAATTATATTATTCAATTACAATAATATCTATTTGTGAAGATTTGATGATATTGTAGATGGAGGTTGGACCTTGGGGATTTAAATGAGTAAATATCACTGTGAGAGTGATTAAAATTGAGCTCATTTATCCTGACTAGTCACTACAAATTTAATTTAAATCTTCATAAAATAGAATGTGTTGAGGAAGTTGAAACATATATATCTATATATTATAAGATTGTATTATTGTAATTGATAAATGTTCTCACTCCCTATTGTGATCTTTTGTACATGTTTTATTTAAACATCAACTTAAGTAGATGGAGGCGCCAAATATTTCAAATCCCTTTTCTGCAAGCATCACTGCCTTCTTTCTAGGAACTACTTGGAACACGAATGTTATAGACAACTCGGTTACTTTTAGAGGGACAGGATTTTCAATAATAACATTTGTATCTGATATGGAAAATCCCATTATGTTAGATGAGCTAGTAGTGGTTACATTTTTTATGCCTCCTATCTTTTTTTAAAACCTCTTAATCAGTTTGTTTCCACCGGCAATGTAGATACTTGTAAAATTGTAAAAAAAAAAATAGAAGGAATCAAAATAAAATTCTTTCTTCTTTTGTATATCTTATATAGTGATGTAAATTACTTTTACATATATGTAATATTTTTTTTGACCTCCTACTCTTATACAAATAATAATAATAATAAAAAAACGTCATTAAATGGTATCATAACAACGTTTCATGTGTGACCTGTACAATGAGTCTATCATGATATCTTATGAATCCTAACTTATATAATTCCAGATGGCAAATAATAGAAGGAACAACGAGTAAACAGAAGCGGTACAAGCTATCCGAGACATGGTCGCTGCATTATTAAGGAACCAAAGACCTGAAAGAACCAATGGATCACAAGGTTTAGTTGAATTTAGGAGAAACAAGCCTCCACAATTTTCTGGAGGATATAACCCAGAAAAGGCTGAATTATGGATTAAAGAATTGGAAAAAATATTTCAAGTTATGAATTGTCCTGATGACCAAAAGGTGAATTATGTCGTGTTTATGTTGATAGGAGAGACTGAATATTGGTGGGATAGTACCAGGAGATTACTAGAAGGAGGAAGAATAATCATTACTTGGGAAGTGTTTAGAACAAAATTTTTAGAAAAATATTTTCCCAATGATGTGAGAAGAACGAAAGAAATAGAGTTTATGCAATTAAAACAAGGAAGTATGACAGTAGGAGAATATGCCTCTAAGTTTGAAAAGTTAGGAAAATACTCTGCATTCTTTTATCACCCTGATGAAAGAATGAAGTGTATAAAATTTGAGAATGGACTTAGGCCCGAATTGAGAAAAGCGGTAGGAATACTAGAAATTTCTTATTTTCCTAAGCTTATTCATAAATGCAGATTTTTGGAAGATTTTGAAAATCATCAAAATAGTAAACCAAAATCTTTTGGACCCCAACATAATAAAAGGAGACAAAATGAAGAAAAATCTTACAACCGCCCCCACTAGAGATCCCAACCCAATCAATTTTCTGCAGGAAATTTTAATAACCGTATAAATAATCAGCTCAAGTGTTTTAAGTGTGGACAAGATCATTATGCTAAAGATTGTCATCTTAAAATACCTGTCTGTTTCAATTGTGGGAAACCTGGTCATATATTCTCTGAATGTCGGCAACAAAAACCAAATTTTGATCCTTCTACACCAAAAAGAAGACCTCCGACAACAGGAAGAGTATATATCATGAATGGAGCCGAAGCTTCTCGGAATAATGATTTGATCCAAGGTATGTGTTTCATTCAAGGCAAACCTTTAAATGTCTTGTATGACTCAGGCGCAACTCATTCATTTATTTCCAATGATTGTGTCCAACACCTTGAATTGCCGACTTCTTTTCTAGATACTAGTTTGATTGTTTCAACTCCCACAAGTAAGTCTGTAATCACCAATAAAATTTGTTTAGATTGTCTTTTGTTCATTGAAAACAGGAAATTTCTTGTAAATTTAATTTGTCTACCTTTATCTCAATTAGATGTAATCCTGGGTATGAACTGGTTATCTTCCAATCAATTCCTTCTAAATTGTGTAGAAAAATCAGTAATATTTTCAAATTCTGAAAATCTTTTTAGTTTCTCTACCAACTCAGTAAATGAGTCTTTAAAGAACAAAATTCAAGGATATTTGTTACTATCTTCTGCGGAAGTAAAAGAGGAAGTCGATTTGAAAAAAATAACAGTTGTTCAAAATTTTTTTGAAGTTTTTCCTGATGATATTCCTGGTTTACCACCCAACAGAGAGATTGAATTTTCAATAGATTTAATGCCTGAAACTGGACCAATTTCTATGGCACCATATAGGATGTCCCCTTCTGAACTGACAGAACTGAAGAAACAATTGGAAGAATTACTTGGAAAATAATTCATTCGTCCTAGTGTATCACCTTGGGGAGCCCCTGTTTTATTAGTTAAGAAGAAAGATGACAACTTTAGGTTGTGCGTAGATTATCGTCAGTTAAATAAATTCACCATAAAAAATAAATACCCTCTTCCAAGAATAGATGATTTGTTAGATCAATTAAAATGAGCTTCTGTATTTTCTAAAATAGATTTAAGATCAGGATATCACCAAATTAGAGTAAAGGCAGAAGATGTACAAAAAACTGCATTTAGAACTAGGTATGGTCATTATGAATATCAAGTGGATATCACCAAATTAGAGTAAAGGCAGAAGATGTACAAAAAACTGCATTTAGAACTAGGTATGGTCATTATGAATATCAAGTGATGCCTTTTGGTGTGACCAATGCTCCTGCAATATTTATGGATTATAT